ACTGCTCGAGCAAATAAATAAATAATTAAACGTAATTTCAGCGCGACGTGCAATTTCACAACTTGCAGGAGATTACGGCTGTAGAAACTAACAGCACTGAACGCAAAGCAAAATCCGTTGCAAATAGAAAACAAAACGTAAAATAAAAACCGAACGAAATAAGTGCAATTCAAGAATGCGTACAAGTAATAATATGCAAAAGGGAATGTTAATTGTGCGCTACACGCGCGCTGTATTTGTTTTGTGCATATTTAGCACAATTTTTCCAGTGAGCGCGCCGCGCTGCAATTTGCTGCATTTTCACAAGACGCCTACTAAAATCTTACGCCGACAATTCCGCGCGTTGTTCCGTTTATGATTTGATGTTTTAATTCGTGTTTGATTGCAATGCGAGACTACGTGCAGCGCAATTTATTGAGACATTAAAGTTGACAATTTGTCGCAGCGTTAAATTATGTTGTACGTTAACGACCCTTATGATTCTCCATAAATATTTCTATAATAACGCCGAGCGTAATAATTTTATATGAATACTATTTATGAATTTATCCGCGAAAGAAAAGCGCGCGTGCATCGTGCATTCGAAATTAAAATGATAATTTTACGCCGCGTGCAAGCCTGCCGACTTTTATTAGATTTTATTACACTTTATTATATTTCATTATGTTATATAATATAGATTTTTTTTTGGCTGTGAGCGAAGAACGAAATGTGCTTCGTGGCTCGGTTTAGTTTAGCATAAAATTTACGATTAGACGCCAAACGCGCGCATAATAAAGATAATATAATAGTTATGGCGAATAAAGGACGGCAGGCAGGCAGAGGAGAGCAGGCTTGCATTGGCTTGCTGAATGAAGAAATGACCATTGGCGATGGCGCGCGCGTCCGGAAGATTAATATTGCGCAGGTCGGTCTTATCGAGGAGTGCGCGCGCGCCAAAGGATGTGTCCGAGGACTATTTGTTACCGACTTAATTGGCGCGAGCGTGCACAATGCGTCACGGCGAATGAAAGCGAACGCGAACTCGTTCGGACATGACGCGGAGGAAACTTGTAAACTTCGCTCGGATACAATTCCATCCCGCCGCCATCCGCACGACCGTGTTTTATTAATGTTTTCGTTCGGCGCGGGCAAAAAGCAAATCTCGTTAAAATTCAATTTTAACGTGCAAGTCGTGCACCCAAGCCTTGTAATTTTTGAGGTTTACATTTTGCAATCGATCGTTTACCTACGATATCAGCACGCGCATCTTCTAGTAAAATGTTTGTTTACGAAAAGCAATTAACGCTCATTTGCGCCCACAATAGGCGGTTCGGTGAGGCGCGAAAAAATGCTCAGCCGATTTCCGTCGGCTCGTCACGCCGGCGTGACTCTTTTAAGCCGCCGAGTGTAAAGTTTTTCAGTACCAGCGGCCCCATGACTCAGCGACTTCTTCGGGCTACCAGCGACGATTTCGTCGGCTGGACACACACCGATGTTTTGCATAAAAAACCGATATTAATGCGCGCGCTCGTTACTCGTCGTTCGTGCATTATCTCTTTATAAATGCCGCGTGGAGGAATGCGATCGCTCGCCGAAAAAAAAATCGGCGTAATGCAAAACGTGATAAAAATCCGCGACGACTAAATGGTCGTGCGCCGGCAATCAAAGGACGCGCAGGACGTAATTACACGTGCTAAGTACATTTATCACGCGCGCGCGCGCATATTTGCCTCGATGAGGTGATTAATTAACCCGCACGCTCCCTTGCAGCACTTAACTTACGCGTGCTCGAGAAGATTCTTCAAAGTTTACACAGGGATCATTTCAATACGCGCTCCAAGCGAAGAAGAATATTTTCTATTCAACATAAACATCAAATGACCTACGAGCATAAAACTCGAGCATATCACAATTATTATACTCGTAATGTTATGCAATTTTAATGAATGTCGTTTTGATTGTAGAAAATCCTCCTAGTTGGTGATTTTATAAAGTTGTGACGACAGTAGCGTATTCATTATGCGCAAAATTTTTTCTCAAAAATAATTATAACGGCGGATGATACCAGGAGATGCGAAAGAAAAAAATCTCCGCGCACTAATCTCGGCATGAGAGCTGGCGCTCTTTGAGAATCATAGCAGTATCGCTATTACGTAACGAACAAACAATATAAATTACCATATAATTATAAGCACACGGGCGTAACGCAGCTTTATAACGTTGTTGTTCTTTTTTTCTTTCACTGACATTCGCTCAATTTTTAAGCGTAAACATACTTAAAACAATACAGCCCCACAACGAATCGGGATTTTTATGAGACAGGGCGCGCGCGCGTCATGTGCATTCGACTTTGCAAAAAATTTGCGTAATTTCGCTGCGCTTTAATTGCGATAATTGCCGGTTTGTCAGTACAGCGCGGTTGTTAACCGTTTTGTCGAGTGCACTATAAAGTTGTAGTGCTGGCGCGCGCGCGAGGCATATGCGACATGAACGAATAAAAGTCGAATAAAAACGGGCATAACATTGTTCCATTTTCCGCGCGCTCGTAAAATTGCACGCCGCACATGCGAAAACGATGAAAAGATGAACTTAATGCTAGAATTCTTTTCTTTGACGCCAGTTTCCATGTTTCGCATTTATGTGTTTGTTTGTTAGCTGCATTCTCGAGCTATTGTGCCGTCATTTTTGAGTCGTCCAGTTCTGAATCGTGCGCGCGGAATTTCATTTCATTATTTCGGTGCGAAAATACCGGTGACACCGTTCGAACGAATCAAATAAACACGCGTCAAATTTCAATTCACCATTTCTCTATACTCACACTCATCAACAATCCGCGCCAGACGGCCGTGGCGAATCCAAAGCAACTCACCTGCGAACAAATAAACAAATGCACACACGATTATTATTTATTATCAACGATTTGGCCAGCAATCAAAAGTAATCAACGCAATTAGAAACGCTCCGCAACGAAAACGAATCGCGATGAATGCCGCGAATGTGTTTGTTGATCAATTCCTCCTCCCAATCGTGTAACATCCAACAGATTGTCGCTGTTCATCTCATAACAATGCGCGCGCCGAAGCTATTAGTACCGCAAACAAAACGTCAGTATTTAATATGACAGATTTGATTTATTAATAGCGTTCGCCGTACGCGCGCGTAATAATAGACGAACGGTAACGCACGGCAATCAGATTGTCATTAAGATCAATAAACCGGCAACATTCATCAAAATCTAAAACCACCAGAAGTGAGCGCGCATTGTTACTGTCGCTCCTCGCGCCATCCACAGAACAATCAATGTTAACAAACAAACACATACATACTGCACAAGTGTATCATTGGGAGCAGCTACAAATTAGGTAATTACAATGAGATTTTAATCGTTTCTACTGCAAGAAACTTCTTCGTAGATACAATAAAACATTAATTTATTGAATGGAACGCAATTCAAATAAATATGTTTGCGATAACATTAAGGGCCCCGTATGGGTGAACATATAAGGCAATGGGTTCGAATATTATTAATACAAACAAGTAACCGGGTTAGATCGATATAAATCACCATCGATAAACGCAGAGCCTCGGATGCATGCACGCGAAATAATATACAACCACGAGAGCGAGAGCAACATTATATTATTAACGAGGTATATCTCGCAATTATAAAAGCTCGGCCGGTACCCATAAGGGTACCATTAGACCGAGTCCCACACAAATACTAACTGTATATGCCGCATCCCATTCTTCCCAAACATACCGCAATGCAAACAATGTTTTCATGTGACCATTAAAATTATAGCTCTATAGTAATTATCGCCGGCATTGCTAAACTCGAAAATTTCCAGGGCATTCAAGGGCAATTTTTTAAAGATACTTTAAATACATCATACTGAAATCGAATTTGAGTGACAAGTAAATCATCCAGTTGCAGCACAGCTTCTCGATGTTGAAATTACCTGCATTTTAACGCTCGCGTGTGTTATTAAGCAATTTCATCAAATGCCAAAGTGCTCGACGTCTGAGGTTTTAATTTGCTCATAAACACGATGAATACACCGCTCAATTATTTATTTTCCATTCGGATTTTAAAGAAAAGCCTTTTTTAAGCCGTTGCCATAACACAACCGCCACATTAAAACATTATGTTATTCATCACCTTTATCTGACACCTAAATCGTCGGGACGCAGGGGCATTTCATCTTAATCTCAAGCGTTTAACAATCACGTCAACCAGAAGGCACCGCGAGAGTGGCTAGCATGTCTTACAACATGTCCGAGCAAAGAGTCGAAACAACAAAACTCTCTCGCGCGCGCGGTTGCTGATGATGATGAATTCTTAATGTTTTGCGTAAATTTTCCGCGCCAAGTTAACTAAGTAAGCAAGCCTCCGCCAGCAATAGATGTAGAAATGATAAAGTGACTCAGGCACAATTTGTCTTGATTGAGCACATCCATTATCTCTCCGATACTGGCTGGCACTGGGATGGGATGGGACGCCGATGCAAAAGCGCATGGTAATTATAAGGTACTTCGGCGAAGAAAGGCGCAACTAGGAAGTCCGCGGCGCGAGACACATTCGCATTGATGTGCCTTGACTAACTATGGTAAAGGACGACACGGCGGAGTAACCCACGGGAGGTTGGTCGCACGCAGAAAGTAAGCACACACACCGAAGAAGAAAAAAAAAACTATCGACGGTAATAGATCAGACAAAAAACGACCATCTAACATCGCGCCGGGCCTATACCACCGGTTACGCATTTATCTTGTATTTCGTTCGTTCCTTCATGCCTCAAAGGTAAAAGTCATGTATCATTGGCGGGCATGCGATGTTCGTTCCGCATCCAATATCTTTACAGATATAGATGCAATTTCGCATCGTGAAACGCCGAGGTCCTTGACCATTGACCATATATCGACTGGTATTTAGTACACTATATCGTAATAGATCACATGTAGTCCGCGAGGCGCAAACGAAAACAAAAGTGAAACTAATTTTGTCGCTTCCATTACAGATACCAACAACTGGAATGAATTCAAGAATGCATTGGTATACGTGGGCGTTAATCGTCCTGTCCGTGGCGAGCACGCATGCCGCCGATGAGGACACGGAAGCGGAAGTCATCGACGCGCCCGACAAGTATCCGGCACCAGCGCCCAGCCCGCTGGATGATTGTGATCCCGAAAAAGTGGGCTTTGAACTAATCACCGGGTATGTCTTCTCGGCACCCGGCAATGTCCTCGATTCCATCCCCGGCACGTTGATGCTCACCGACTGTCTGGAGACCTGCCAGGGTAATGATTCCTGTCAGGCTGTGAATTACGAGACCGGTCTGTGCGTCCTCTTCAGTTCCAACGCGGATGCACTACCAGGTATGTGATGTTCACACACACACACGTCTAATCTATTCACTCGGCTTAAAAACTCATTGAGGAATATGAGCAGCGCGCCAGAAGAAGAAGAAGAATTACAGTTAGCCTATCCATTCCGTGATTGCATTCTCACTCTCAATTTTCGCATCGCGCTCGTTTCATGTCGCGTAATTCGTTGATGCCTCTGCAAACATACACACAATTGCTGCCCGTAGTCGAGCAAGAGAGCGAAAACGCAAAGTGTTTTTGCTGCTGCAATTGTCCGTATGGATTTTCACTTAATCCCACCGGTTACAGTTATTGCTCCGGCGTTGCGGCGTTGCGTTAAATTGCCACATGGATGCATGCGCGCGCGAGAGGAGCAAACGAGCAGCGCGTCGAACACAAAAGTTTGATGAATAGCTCCGACAAACGTGCGCGCTTCCTTTTCGCATCCATCGGGCACCACACAACGAACGAACGACTCGCCTGCGCGCTCGCCAACTTCCTTCAACTCCTTTCGGCAGACAAATTCGTGCGTCGCCTATTTACGATTTGCGGTCACACACTCGCCCAGCGACGGATTACCCTCCGCCTGGCTAACGGTACACACGGCGCTCACCATAATCGCTTTCAATTTGAATTTTGACCTTGTCAGGAGAACCTTCGACGAGATGAGTGGTTGACCCCTTCGGTTGACCCTCCCAACCCAACCAATTTTGTTGTTTTCGCTGGTTTTTTTGCTTGGGTACCACCATAGTAAAAGTGTTATAAATTAGTAAATTGCTAATGAGACATTGAGCATGTATGCAGGAAGCAGCGACCAATAATGCACATCGCGTGACATAAGTTTGAAGCGAGCTTTCTCTCATCTCGGGTATCGTGTACCGTCTTTCGTCATTGTGGTCCACTCACATACACGCATGGTTATCCCAGATGGTTGAGTTATACCGCGTACCGTTAAACGTGCCGTACGTACGCGTACGTAAAGTAAAAGCTTTGAGCGATGTGTCGGCGAGGCGCAGTTCCTCGTCTGCCTGGGTTAGCGATACCCTCACACACAATGTCGCATCTCTCGCCATATTTCATTTTCATATTCAATTTCCGCTCGCGCATCTTTCGTGTATCTCGTTGCGTTATTGTATCCATCATCGTCGAGCCATTATAATCACTACCGTGCGGCGGCGGCCATTGTGCGGCGCATAGATGCGTCGGCAGATAGCGCGTCCTTCGAGCATGGAGCATATTCAAGTACACGTTCTTGATCTTGGCCATCTTGGCCAAGGTGAGACCGGCGCAGCTTGGAAAGCGCGGCTAATCCGCGACTGCAGCCTGTAACGCGGACAAAAAGCCACTTCCACGGCACCTCTTTCACGGTTTTTCGCTTTTCATACTCGACTACTCGCACAAAAACTAGCGGCTGCATCGAAATTCTGCCGCATACCATTCGATCGCAGAACGCACCAAACGAGCAAGAGCACATTCAAAACGTGTGTGTGGCTGTTAGGAACTGCCCAGCGAGCGAGATCATCGCCATCCGACTGCGTGCAACGCGCGTGGAAAAGTTCGGTTGAAAGGGAAACGCTGAATATTGTCCGGTTTCCACGCTGTGCGCCGCCGCGATGCACTTTATATGGCGATCCCGTAAACCATTCGAGATAATAAGACGCTTGGCGAATAATTGATGAAAATCTTAATCATAATCGTGATCGCGGCCCGCAACCGGCGGAAAACGCGCGCTTTCGAAGCAAAGAATGCGGACCATAAGGAAGAACTTAAACCCAATTTACAATCTCATTAGTGACTTGAAATTAAGATACTTTATTGGTTTGCGTCGTGCAGATCGATGGCGGCGTAGCAATACCAAATTACTACTATCCTAATCACATTCAAAGGTAAAGATCGTAAATGCAAAATGACAGATTTTAGCTGGTTAGTTGTAAATGGTATGCAAAAGAACATGATAAATTAGCGCAGGAAAAAAGTCCAGCTCGATTCGGGTTAATAAATCATCGGCATAATAGTCGGGACATTATCAAAATTAATTGACTCGATCTCTTTCATTAATGCACTTCAGAAACTCATTAGCGTCATTCGTAACACGAGCAGGCGGCTCACATGTACTAGGCATGGAAAATGATAGAAGAGGAAAAAACGACAAGACAAGATGTGGAAGAAATCCGACGCGCGTGAACATGCGCTCCCATGTACTCGACATACTCGACATGCCCAACACGGCCGAGATATCGAGTCGGCGAGAATATGAACACGGGAACCATGGCTCTCATATCTTTGGCGCGGAGTCAAGCCAAGCCGCCGCTCGTCACCCGATATCGCCGGCGCAGCGCCGGTTGATTGAAAGCATGAAAGCAAAAGTGCTTCTTCCCCTCTAGCCAAGCAACAGCAACAGCAAAAAAAAAACATACAAGCGGATTGCGATAGGATTGTAACGACCATCAAACTGAATCTAAACGACGCGCCGCCGCCACCACAGCGGCGTTTATGTCGCGATGCCAATATGCAGATTGCAACCGCGGGGCCGCGCGGATAAAAAGCGAAATTGTCGATATATTGTGTCGGCACCGGCGCGCTGTATCTCATTCGCGATAAATGCATAATGCGTTCGCGCACCCCGCGAATTAATATACGACGGCGCTCATAAAAGGTGCATGTCGCTTGTCGGTGCGATTAAGCTGGTCCACAAACCCACTGACAGCCAGGCGTTCCTCCACTGGAGAGGAGAGCAGCAACACAAACAGCGCATTTTGCAGCGCCAGATAGCAGCGGTCGTAATATCGCTCATAGTCTGCAGGGACACGACGCGAAAATGCCTTAGTTTTAAAGCGAACCGGACACGAAACTGCCTCTGCCGACTGCGTGCATATTACGCTCCGATAACGACATGAAAGAAACGCGCGCGAAGGACGCAGGACTTGTCGCTAGTTATTTGTGTGCAGCGAAATGCCATTAATGCCCCGTGTGCCCGTGTTACATTTAATTTTGCGCGCATAAAAGGCACGAGCTGCTGATGAGATATTTGCACTGGCACGTTGCACGCACGTTTGCGAAAATATTTCTACTCGAAGATGAACCGAACGTATATCAAACAATTTTTACAAACAGAAAATTTATAATAAATATAAAAACAAAACAGCCGCTATTTAAGAATTAATTAAAACTGGAATGTCAACAGTCAACATAATGGTAAGATACGAGGTATAACGCTACTTGGTCGAGTTGTTTACGTGATGATGGGTCGCTCCGTTTTTAATTAAAACGACACCATTGACTATTATATCGGTAGTTCTGTACGTCCTTCCGTGATTACGTATGCGCACGACCGTGTGCGTACGCAATGCGCGGCGTGGGAACAAATCACCACAGCGAAAGAGTGCCTTCCAGGTATTACCTGCGTACAACACACACGAGATTCGTCCGAATTTGGATAAAGCCGTCGTGTTCGTCGTCACTTAAAACAAAACTTAAATAGAAGATATTCAGTTAGTTAGGAAGAAGAGATCGGCGAATGGTTTGCGCGTTCATAATGAATGCCATCGAGTGATATACTAGTTTGGCTTCTCATTGAAACGTTTGCTCTTAGAAAACAGCAACATGCATGTGCGAAAGAGAATCGACGTGCATTGAATGCTGTGCCACACCAACACGGCAATATCTACAATCCGATTGTTCTCCACTTTGTTAGCGCTTCGACCAGCGCGCAGAATGCAATAATGCAAAATAGTTGGAGTGTGTTCCGAGTACGGGTAACCCTTGTATCTGCATATCAATTGCAATGCGCGCTGGTGTCTTGTGCGCGCAACACGCGAGCAGTGAAAAATAAACGATAAGCTATTAACAGCTAGCCAGCCAGTTGCGGAAAAGTCGATGGAACGAGTTCAAGTCCAAGTCCAAGTCCAAGTCCGTCCGTTCCATTTGCGATCTGTCCACGTTCGTACACGTCCGGCGACGTGTGCGTGATTCGACGTGCGAACAAGATAACCGCGCGCGCGGAGACTCCACCACACAGCGCAGAGCGTCTTCCTTGTTGGTTGTAGTTACGCTCGCGAATTGCCGATATTACCGATGCGCTCGATGTGCCCGATGTGCTCTCGTTTACTAATTATTATCGCGAGCACACCAGCACTACAGCAGGCGCGCGGTATCGTGACACACGACTACTCTGCTGGCCTGCTAATCGTCCGAACACAACCAGGACAAGAAGAAGAAACACAGCAGCGCGGCTGTGATTGCGAAAATTGGATGATGACGGCAAATGCAATTTCTGCGCCTCTTCGGCTCAAAGAGAACGAAGCATGTGTATCGATATGATTTTTCGATTGCGCGCGACTGCGCGGCGCATGATGAAGCGGCAAAATACGTATCTCGCATTGCTGCACCAAGCGTGAAATAAGTGCAGGAGCACACAAGATGCGCGATGCGGAATCAGATGAACCGCGAACCGACAGGGTCTAATGGGCTAATGGATCGCCAGCACATGCACGCACACAGGGTGATTAGAAGACACACATATAGGTACCAACCAGTGTGCTCAGATTGGTTATGGGTGGATAATGCTGAGAAATGACGAACGAGGAGGTGTGAAACACATTTGTGTCTCGAGATTAAACCCAGAGCGCGGCCAACGCGAATTCGCTCTCATGACGTGATGCTGCTACCTGCGCGAGTGCATCACACGCGAGAAATCAGGGAGCTTAATTGCTAATGAAATACGTGCGACGAATGCGTTATTAATAATTTTATCCGGCGCATTCAATCTGGTGGATCTGGCGGGTTACATGCGCTAATGTATGATATGACTGATTCGTACCAAGGCCATAAACATGCGAGATAAAACGTGAAAATTCAATTTGCGCGCGCCGAGCGCATCACATCCCAACAAATCGAACAGCAAAAGCAATCTTTTTTCAAGTCTCTGCGGCGCGCTGAGAAAATCCCTGTAAAAGGTAAACGCGCAATGAAAGTAATGATTCGACCAGCGCACACCGAACCACACAATACTCACAGGGTTACAAATGCAAAAGCGGCATAGAAACCGTCGTCGTCGTTAGGCCGCTTGCTACAGATTCAAACGTGATACACTTAAATATTCAGCGCTTTGAATGCGATGCGCGGAAAAAAGCCTTTTCCACCAGCAGCAAGCGCGCGTATCATCACGCAACGATCGCAGCAGCGCAAATTCGTCCGATCGTCGCCGAGGCCTTTTCGATACACGCGAATAACACGCTGAACATTAGCCCGCGCAGTTTATCTCAAATTGCACGGCCGTCGCGTCCGTGCATATCCATCATCACGACTTGGACGGTGTGCGCCTGTGTGTTGTGTTGCTGGAACAACAACAACAACAACAACAGTCGCGCAATCAATCGTTTTGCGCACACCGACGCCGGTGAGAGTGCATTAAGCATACTTACCAACTGGTTATTGTGGCATCTAATAGCTAATACGTACGCCCAATAAACGAAAGCTACTTTTCCTCGGTATGCCTCCCGCGTGCGTTTTTCAGCTCCGCGCGCGGCCCGTCGATTGTGATAGCAATATCACAATAACACGATTGCATAATGCAAATCATCGTGGCGTGCATAATGTTGATGCGGCGATGTTCGGGGCGGCCGCTGCCATAATAGCCACACAACGGCAAGCACAATTGCGAAGTGGATACGCTGCGAAATGCTTCAAGTGTCTGTCTGTCTGTGTGTGTACTTGTAGTCTTGCAGGTACATCGCAACAATGACACGAACTCATCATCGACGCTTTGAGAAACGATTTGTCGATTCGCGTCTCTTTTTTGCTTCTTCGTGCTCATTTATTGCTACATCCATAGATCGACAGATTGCAACACATTGTTTCAAAACTCTTGGATGACTAGAGATGTCTTGGGATTCAAAAAAAAAACAACAATGAACGTGCCATTTTTCACCAAAATGCTTGAGTGGATTTGCTTGCATTTGGTCACCAAACGCCAGTCAAAACACCGTTGTGGCGGCCAAATTACACGCACGAATGCCGGCAATGTCGTTTCTTAAAAACCGTAGCGGCACGCAATCGCGCCGGGTAGTTAAATGTCGACCGGCACGTAGGGTATTACTTTTAATACGCGATCGCCGATGTCGCACGTAGGCTTGTACTGTTCATTTGGTGCCGCATGTGCGACGCAAACTTCTTTGTGTGCAACCCAGCATTCAATGCTGGACGAAACTAATTCGAGCAATCAACCAACTTCGGCATCAGAAAGTTAGTTTAAAACTGGCGCGGATGATGATGAATGAAACAAAGGAAACGCTCGAAAACTATGCTGAAATATGTCAAACGTTGAAAAACTAAGAGGAACGATAAAACAACATTGCTTTTCGTAAATTCCTGTGCAGCAGAAGTAAACTATTTGCACACAAACTTAGTTTGTTTATCAAATTTCTTCGCGTGGCATCCAGAAAATCAGGCAGGACAAACACACGCGCCGTGTATTTGCCAAGCGGAACGTCTGCTGTTTATAGGTAAATGTTTGCCGAAAAAATAACGTAAACGAGCGACGCACGGCGCTGAAAAATCATCGTCAATCGTCGGCATGGACGACAAACGCACAGTTTTCTTTAGACACACCAAAATGGTAGTAAATACGAAGTAAACATTAAGTAAAAGCAAAGAATGCCGCAGTGTAGGTATTGCTTTAATATTGGATGTGAATTTATTTCGCGTCGCCGCTAACAAGTTGATTTACGACGATTTAATCCTTAATATTTGCCCCAGCGAGCTCACTTTTACGACGAGCGCGTTTTATAAATTCAATGAAATTCCATTTAATTCGCTCCGTGAATTTTGCTAATTAACGCTCGCGCACAACCCCAAACGCACTAGCACGAAATGATTATTAAAAAGCAAAGCAAACCAAACCGTCATCAATGTTAACGCTGGCCAGCAGCATGCGTTCGCATCGGGCGCTAATTAAAAATATATTAATATATAAATAATTAAATGAGCCGTTTTATGATCCCGTTTTAATATCCAAATACATTACATTTGTTACCGCCGCGCTGCTCGCGTTTGTCGGCTTGCCCGTTCCGATGCTAATAATGTAAATAAATAATAAAATCTTGTTAGCGCGGAAATAACGCGTGATTTTTCCACCGATTTACACACCACACTTCGCCTCTTATCGCGACTCGTAAAATTCCAATTAAGTCTCGATGCTGTGCGGTGTGTGCTCTTTTGTTTTTGCACATTCCGACGGGCAATTAGATTTGCTCGCGTTTGATTCGCGCGCATCGCAAATCAAATCCACTCGGAATCAAATATCTTCTGGAGGCGCGCGCGCGCGGAAACCGGGCGCAATCAGTGTGCGATGCCCGCCGGGCCGGCGATAGAAATGCTTAAATTAAAGTCTCATCAGAGGCCGATGCGACGTGGATGCGCGGTCCTCATCTGCATGTTATGATATGATCTGTGCGGTATTTGCGCCCGGCGCAATGTTATTTCTGTCCAGATTCATTTTCCCCTTTCCCGGGGGCGGCTCTTTGCTCATATTTGCCCAGCCAGTATAGGAAAATATTGTTTGGCCGTCGGTACCTATCATCAAGTCAATTTCGAGTTTTGAGTTTCGGCTCCGATATACATTACCTACAATATCTCGTAGTTGATTAATTTCAAATTTAAGCGTTGTTTTCATAAGGGAACTACGTCATGAACTAAAAGTTTAAATAAATTCCGTAATAATCGAACTTAATGAAAACCAAACTCTAATGATCTGCAAATATTTGCAAATAATGAAACACAGCCCAAAACGGGCATAATTGTAAAGTAATTTCCCGATTTCCCTGCGTGCTGGGATTGGAAAACAACAGTTATGATAAATTAATGATCTCACTCTCGACGTGCACGTAGAAGGTGTATCGGATTGAAGTTTGCTTTATACGGCGCGTGCTGCCCGTCGACTCCACCACACCGCCGCGGAGGCGCGATGATGATGATGAAGTCACCTTGGCCTTCCAGTTTTAATTACCCGCCTCGAAATTTCATTTCGATTAGATTAGCGCCGTCGTGCCTGGGTTTATTTTACTTAAGATCTCGGCGCGCGGAATGCGCTAGCTGCACTTTTGCCTCCTCCGCACGCAGCTTTCCCAGCGCTGCAAATCATAACGCGCCCATCAAATATGTTTCGTGCGCGCGAATGATGGCGCTTTTATGACGCGCGCGTCGTCGCGATTAGATGCTAACGGTACAGATGTTTCAATTAAGCGGCGCGGGGCCCTAATGATATTACCCGCGGAGGCGAAGCGTGTGCATGCATGCGCGAAGGTGCGAAATCGCCGGCGAATTTCACTCGCCCGCAAAGAACAAACAGACGCAGCCTATGACATTAGTGTGCATGATAACAGGACATGAGATGAGAGATGGATGCGTTGGAAGAAGATGGAGTTTTTTTCTCCATTCGTCGCGCAATTGAAATTGACGAGGAAATTGCGTAATCAATCGACTTAACGTAACTGTGCACTGTGCACACACATCGCAGGAAACGGCTTATTGTTTTAATGCGTTCGCCTTGCGCGCGCGCGCGCGCTGAAAAGCGAAATTCCGAAATTGTTTTATGCCGGAGTCGGAGTCGCCGTCGTGTGGCATTATTGGCTAATAAATCTTAACTTTGTTGTCGTTTTCGGGCATTAAAGATACACCTTCGGCGCGCGCGCGCGAATTTCCGCATTTATAGTCAACTCGGCCGGCCGAAGTAATAATTTTCATCGGTGCGCGCAAAGAGCGAGAGTGTGTGCGCGCCCGCCACGGAATGCGATCGAGAAAGAGAATGCAACGGCCAGCGGCGACCGTTTCGACCGCGAGCTTTTGATAATGTTTTGATTTATATACGTGGATGCTGATGTGTGCACCGTTGTTGTTGTTGTTTGCAGGAGCGCTGACCAAGTCCCAGTTCCCGGTGTTCACAATCTACGCGCAGAAGAGCTGCCTGGGCGTCAAACCGTGCGAACGCGCCTGGTGCATCGACAGGGTGCAAAACTACCGCCTCTCCGGGCATGCCAAGAGTCATCAGGCGGTCAACTCCAGGCAGGAATGTCTGGAACTGTGCCTGGGCGAGAACGAATTTCAATGCAGGTCAGTAAACACGCATGCGCGCTAGCGCATACTCAACGCTACCCCCGCTACAAGACGTGCGGGTCGCGCTTCCTCGTGGGCAACACAACAACAGTTTACGCTGTCAAAAGGTGGTAATGCGTCGAAATGGAAAAATGCAATTTGACGTATTCGCCTGTCCGGTGGAATTTCCGCACTACTACAATGTGTGTGCGAACCAACAAACGCGCAATAAATAATCGCGCATCGAGCGATGATGTCGCGAGATAGAAAAACGGGAAAATTTATATTGTGTCCTCTGGGGACACCGGGTCTCTCCTCTCTTCTTGCGGCCATCGTCGTCGTGCGCCGTGCAACTCGCGCAAAACAAACGTTACGTACCTACTTAACTTACCGAGAGACCCGGGCCTCGGCGGACACTTGCGTGGCGCGTAACGGTAGACGGCATAGACAACATTCAATCGGCCACACGTTTTTCCCGTCTTGCCGCTTCTTTCCCGCTAACGCAGATAATAGAATTACACGTAAACTACGTAATTGCACAGCCCCAAAGTCAAATACGCCTCAAATAAATCATAATTTCAATTTCGATACACGCTGGCAGAGAACTGGCAGAGAAAGAGAGCAAATTGATCAAGTCCGAGTAGAAAAATTGATTTTGTTTGCTCCAATTTTTCGCCGGTGCGCGCTCGTTCGATTAATGATGATATAAGAGTGAGTCAAGCAGCGGGAAAAAATGTTCGACAGTAAATTAGGCATTTCAAAGCAAGCAAAGAAACTCGGCCTGGGAAAAGGTAAACGGCGAGAGGAACAAATATCGAGACTGCAGCGTGTTTATCTTAATTTTCTTTCGAGTTGTTTAACGAACCGTGCCGATATTTTTCTTCCAATAACAACCAACGCTTCAAGAAACACAGACAAAAAAAAATCAGAAAAGTGAAGCCAAGGTATCGAAAGTCAATTATTAATTGAGTTTGTTAGATAGATTAGAACAGCAAAACAACAGGGCTGTCAGAAAAAAAAATGTTATGCATGTGTGTACTTTAGGATTGGAACCGTCCCAATCGTAAATTCGCTAAAAAGCACATCCATTCTCGCCCGAGTCGTAACGATATTTTCAAAATTTATCCCTCCGGCAGCTAAGTGTGCCGGCGGCTAAGTGCCGATTCCCCCCAAACAAAAACTATCCTCGCATCCGCCACGGTGGTCGTTGCATATCGAGCGCAAACATCTACTAATTAATTTGCGCAAATTCCATCTATCGACGCGCCGCAACGAAACACTTAAAACCTATTTAATTACGGGCTCGGGTGGGTAATAACAATTAACGCCTCGCCATTTATAAACAATAAATTACAATAAATCGTCGATAGTCGATAGCGCATTGCGCTTTACCCGCTCGCAGTGCGCGCACACATTGCGCGCACAAAAGATCCCCTGATAAGTAACCGTTCGGTCGGTCGCCTGGCTCGTTAAATAATAATTAATTGCGCGCGCGCGCGCGCGCACAGCATCGGGGCGATAATTTACTGTTGGCTGCTTTTATTTTCCAGCCATCAGCAAGCGCTCACATTCGACCGAATATGATGTGTCTTGAGTTTTTGCGCCACACCGATTATTAACTTTAATACCGACAATATTTAACGTGATCTACGAGTGCGCGCGCGGACTATTACCTCATCTTCGTGTTTGCATTGCCGACACAAGATAGATCGACGCCGTTTACCGATAACAATTATTAGGGTTCGTGGCCGGGGAAACACTTTCGCTGCTTGCTAGCGCTAACGAAGACGCTGGCAAAAACCACTGACGACGAGGAATGAGAATGCATGGAATGAATAAACGATCGGCGTGCGGCGATGGCATGACCGATCGATGCACGCCTGGATGGGATGGGACGAGATGCGATAGCGAAATATGATGAACAACAAAAAAGGCTTATATACAAGTACAATGTGTGCATCGACAGCGAGCGTTCCAAACACGCATTCCGATCCACCCACCGGCGGGACGGCAATTAATTTTTGCAATAATCCGTGCGGATCTTAATTGCTTATTATCGTCGTGTTTATTTATCGATTGCGTCTGCGAGAAGAGAACTCTCGTGATAATGCAATAAATACCGCTCGAGATGTTTCCTCTCCGGCTGCATCTCGCCTGCAATGAAAGAGATTAAGCGCGCCGAACTACAGGCGAGATTAAAGGTTGACAATTATTAATATGCCAACCGAAAAATGCGTGAGTAATTAATGTGCGGCGATCTTTCATTTCGAAGGTGCGAAAAGCATGGTGGTGTCAAAGTGCGTGTGCATCATCGAAAGATATTAATCAGTGGCAAACGATAAATTTTCGTCGCACACCCAATACGAGGATTTTGGTTGGTATGCGCAGATGTGCGGACAGAGGCATGCGAAGAAAACATTGTCCGGTGCGAACGGTATCACGATTGGCCTTTTGTGAAAAGGGCAAAAGGTCGATTTCCGAATTGAGACGAAAAGCAATAGGTTAGCCATCCGGGTGCGCCCTTGCTGAGGTAGAGGCCTATCTTTATGTGCCCATTAAAAGTACGCACTCTTGCGTTTGGTGGTTTTAATAGAAACTAATTTCGGGATTAACAACCGCTTCTTGAGATAATCAAACTTTATGTTCTCTTTGGCCAGCATTTACCAATAACTTTCGGCATAGTAGATTTTTTCCTTGCTTCAAGGTTAACACCACCAACACAGGCGTAGTTTTCTTATCGTTATCCTTTCCGTTTGCAGGAAACTTCTACCCCCCCACATCCGCACGCACTATCCAAAACCATCTAACCCCCGATTTTGACCCGGAGAAATGTCACCGTCCAAACCAAAGTTCATACATGTACAACAAGAAAGTCGATTTACTAGACGCCCACATAGTTTCCCGAGTATAAGGAACCCAAAGTACATTAGCCTTAGTTACTCCACGCGTCGCTTCCTTCCGTGGCGACGTTTTCTTAGCCCTGTCCACCCCCCCATTTCAACGTCTGGCCAATCCACCCCATCCTCCTGGTTCTGCGGCGGCCCTTTCGTTCTTACAAACTGGAATCGCGCGCGCTTTAAACTTTGGTAATTATCGCCGCAATGTCGTCGTCGTTCCAACGCGATAGCTAAAAGGTTTGACCAATTCGGAACTTTGCGCAAGGAGCAAGCGAGAGCGTCCGGTTCGAGATCGTGTAATGTTTGCCGGGACTAATTTAATGGCTTTCGGTAATTCCACTCAATGCGGGAACACCAAATAAATATTTGAATATAAGCGCCTACTACTCTGGCATTAGTTTTGCATTGACACAAGTTAAGAAGAAGAAAAAAGCCGGGAAAAACTTTCGTATGTAAAAATCATCACAAATGGAGATGTCACATCGCCAGCTGCAAGATGCCTGGATGTTGGCACATCCGCTCGTTATTCCCAGCAATACCCAATTATACTTGACGTGCGAATAGTCCAGGAAAACGTACAATAAAAATCCAACAAAAACGCATAAGTGGCGTGCAGAAAAAAAAACGCAGTGCCTACCTCCACCCAGCCATTATGTACTTTAGTTGAATGTTTAAAAAAAAAAGAAGAAGAAACCAGCGTTAAACATCACTAAAAATGTCCTTTCGACAATAAAACATTTAAAAAGCCGCTTTACTGCCAATTAAATAAAAAGAAACCATTTGGAATTTCTTGTGTCCGCTTGTCATCCGGTTGTATGCGCACATAAACCACGCTCATAAAAACACACGTCCGGTATAAGCAACTTAACTTAATAAATCGTCATTAAATTACATCTCGAAAACAAAGCCTATAAATACATACATGCTACGAGAAGGACTCAGCATAGAATCTGATAGAGCTTATTCAAATTAAATTTATTGCGCTTTCAAATTTGTCGATGTTGCAATTTGCAACGTAACGGGACGCAAAATGTGGGAAGCGCAGGAAAGACTCAAGTTGAAGACAATGTTCGTGTTATTAATTAAGAGCAATCGTCCTCGGCGCACTAATAGTACTAATAACTAATAGATTTGCATAATGCGGCCGCCAGCAAAATCGCATTATTACCTGTGTATTAGCACCGCCTTCAGGGGTACCTGCATCCGATGTGTGCACAAGCATTAAGCATCAAACATCATCGTTCAGCATTCAATAATTCAAATGGCGGCAGCGTGAATTAATTATCGCACTCGTAGTGTTGTAAAGTTAATTTATTTAGACGTACACCAACAACAAATTCATTAATGTATCTTTTCTATTATTTTTCGTCTGCTTATCAACGTTATTGACTTAACAAAAATAATATTAATTAACGTACATCCTGTGTATGCTATCTCCGCATCAATACCAATCAAACAGATAAAAGTATTCAATAATCAGTGCCTCATTTCCGTGTTACCGAAGTAATACGCGCGATAAACCAGCCCTGATCATCTCGACACATGCACAAAGCCACTACTAACCAATAATGTAGGTACATATCTGTCGTGGAAGAGCTGGCGTGAAAACCTACACCACCTGAAACGCACAGCTTTGCACAGCGCGTATGTTCTATTATGCATAAACGCGTTTGGCATCTCGCACAAAGGTGTGAGAAACGCGCGGTGGCTTTATATAAATGGCATTTTAAATTGGTTGCCTGTTCGACCAGCGCTCGCACACGCGCGCATTCGAATTCTAATTCTCCAAGGGAACGCGATCCAGAGCGTGCGATATGGAGTAAAATACGTCGTAAATATTCCATTTGTATGCCTATCCATCGATTTCGCCACACGCTAACCGGACACGCAAGAAACGCCACACTTTACAGCTGCGGCAATTTGTGCGCTGCAAGAGTTGACAATGGCGCGGTTCTAGTTCAAGAAAACACCTCGATAATTGCAAATGCTTCCGATTGATACGCACTTTTTAATAATATCCGCGCAGTAAAACAGCTTTTTGCCGCGTATACTCGCGCGGAAACTTAATAAAAACGGCGTTTGCCAATTACGCTTATAATTTATTTATTGCATTTTCTTTACGCTATCTTTGTGACATCAATGCAAAATCAATGCAAAAACAAACAAAAAATAATAGCGAAAATAATAATAATATTTACACCGCTAATTATACACCACAATATGACATTTATTCGCGTTACATCGTAAAATTCCATCAAACTGTAGCGAATTGAATTTTATTCATGCGATTTGAGAAAAAAGAATGTGCGACCAATGCGACCACTTTACGAGCAAGGCGTATTATATTAATTGACAATAACTATTTCGCTATAAAACGACCGCAATTTAAGAGTCAAACCGCGCCGATGCACTCTCCATGCTTAATTAATTAGCGAAGCCTGCAGGACAACCAATAAAAAGCGTACAGGTTCAAGCGAAAAAATGCGTCGCAAATTGCCGCAATTAATAAATCTCCTATAAATAGAAGTGCCGCGTAGAACTAGAAGTCGTATCAATCATTATATAAAAGATGCGCGTGCAAATCGAACCGAAAAAAAAGAAAGACAAAACGCAAAGAATGGAACTCTCATGTTAGTCAATGTAGTAATGCCGCCGCTTTGGAATTGTTTTGTTTCCCTCATGTACGTCTCGTGTCGACAAATAATGCACATTTACACAAGTCGCTTGGCGAGTCCACCCGATATGGTAGCAACAATTAATATATTTTTCTGGCATACGCCGAGCGACACCACGTCCGTCCATCTACCAATCGTGGAGCGTATAAATGTCAAGCGCGCGCATAGCTCGCAATGTTTAAAAGGACGCTACGCAGAACTGTATAAACTGCAAGCAATCTGTATAAACATACACGCAGCCCGCTTCGGTAGCGGTTAGGCATTAAAAGTGAAACGCGGCGATCGATACAAGTCGGCATTGCATAACACGACCACTAGCAGACTGTTATAAATAAATGCGTAACTGTTAGGAGAAGCCCGAGAGAAGCCCGAGACCTTAGATAGTTCGATGCGCACATAACTAAGCTTCAAAAGTCGCGGGCGCTCGGCGAGCACGCCTCATTGTTTCGGCAATTTCTACCTTTTGCGGCCGTCGTGGCAAAAACGGCACACACTCACTAGGGGAACCTGTTAGATTCGTCCATGTTGGGCATAAAGCAAGTCATCGCGCGCAATGTACTTTATCCCCCGCGTCAGATAATCCACACTGGGTCTTTTAAACCCGCATTGCTGTGTATATGAGAAAATTCTCGCAACACCCGCATATCTATAGAGATTCCAACACGTGGAAAAATACGAAAATATATAGGACGACACGTAGTTTAAACTCGTCTAAACTATTACCGAACATTTTCTCGCGCTGCAAAGAAACACTTATCGCACGCATACGTCGGCTACGTGCGCGGAATAAAACCGAGCTCGGCCTCGGCCGTTTCGGTGCGTCGAAGAATGTTCCAATACTAATGCCACCTAATACGTAGCGCAATTTTTAATCTTCCAAAACGGTTTCGAGATCAAATGATGAAACACGACGCGCGATGCAGGAGATGACGAGCGGCGGACAAAGCTTTGCGCAATTCAATTACTCGCCACACAGAAATACAGCGCAAACAAATGGAAAAGTAATAGCAACACATCGCTCAATAAATTAACGCCCGTAGCGCCAGCCGCGATTAGTTAATGAGAAGAAACGCAAGTGTAATTGAATTACGGCGGCAGACTTTTGTGCGTCGAGTTATTGGACCACCCACGCGTTCAGGAAATGATCTAGCCTCGCCGTAATAATAAAGAACGTTGCGGAACAACGCAGAAAATGCAATCTATTCCGCTGTTCCTATTTCTGCATGTGGCACATATGCATGCGCAGGTTCATACGCGGCGGCAGCGCGTTAGTTAGTTAGTTGGGTTTCTATTAATTAGCCAACTCGGTCGTAAATACGTATCGCATCGACCCCGGTGCGGAATCGGTGCGTTGCGTGCGCCGGCCTGAGGGCCCATTAGATCAGCGGTGCGATCTTTGCTTGTGAGGATGTGTCGAGGACACGCCGGCAATCAGGCAATGCGGAAACCGCCAGAGCCACCATGAGAAGCGCAAAATTAAATGGAAATTGATGTGCGTTCAGATCAATATGTCTTTTAACACAAAAAAAAATATCAAACGCAATCAAAATCTGTGCGCATGCAAATCAGGTCCGAGAAATTCGATTTTCTGAAAATTTCAACTAAACATCCACGTCACGTCCACGAGGACTCAAGTTGTGACAATCTCGAGACTTCACACGCCCGGCGTTCGCTGGAATTGTTTATTCATTCTCACTCTCTGGACTCCGGTGTGTATGATAGGTGTAATGCATTCGCGTGGGTAAATATTATTCGACTAGAAAACAAGCGTGATCTGTCAAGTTACATCTCACCGCTTATAGAATTTTGCAAAAACAAACATAAACGAAAGCAAAAATTGGCGAAGAAAAAAAAAGACATCTTGCACAAATCCAGCATCAAAGTAGACAAACAATTCTGAAGATTACGTCGTCGGCGGCGAGTGGCTTTTGCCGCGGCCTTATTCATTGGCATTGCGATGCATCAACCGAACGGTTTTTAATCGAAACGCGTATAACTTGTTTGTTTTACTGCTTGTCAATCGACGACAACAAATCCACCGATGCCGACCTACTCGCGCGGCATCGCAACGCACGTCGCAATGACCATCCGCTAGCCGGGGACAATCTGTCAATGTGCTTCAGCTTGTCTCTTTCGTCTTTTGCCGGTGTGTGTAGTCAGATTGCCGCTGCCGCATCGTCGACGATGCCGTCCGTCAAAGAACAAGAAAAAGGGGGCGAGTTATGGTCTATTTGCTATGTGTTCGACGACTCTTTTCCAACTCGACGTTTTTCACCGCGGCGGCGTTTTTCATTGCGCAAAGCAAGCGCACAGCATCACAAAAAAAAACTGCATAATTCGATCAATTCGCAATCGATTATTGAGATTTGTTCATGGCGTTCTTGTATTCGCGTGCGCTGAATACCTAATTTTTCAATTGCACTTTCAAGTTGTTTTTTTTTTCTCAACCGCTTTTTCTTTTGCTGTTACAGATCCGCAAATTACAACAACGCCACCGGTGATTGCGAGCTATCGACGATGGACCGCATCACGCTTGCTGGTAGCAACGCCTTCCAAGCCGCCGATGGCTACGACTACATGGAAAACAACTGCATCGAGCAGCCGGCAAAGCTCTGCGAATTCAAGAAGCTCACCGGCCGAATTCTTAAAACCGTGGATTCCGTCTATCAAGACGTGGGCTCCTTGGATGAGTGCCGCGAATTGTGCCTACACTCTCCGTACAGGTGCCACTCGTACGACTATGGTGACACCGGTGAGATGGTCTGTCGTTTGAGCCATCACTCCCGCGCCACTCTAGCCGATATTCAGGTCAGTACCAAAGCGTTCATTTAATTCAAACATTAATTAGATTCCCATGGGACTCACCAATTTGTTACACAAGATGTAAGCATGTTGTCGTGTTAGCCAGCATGCTAAACATCTTGCAAGCTATAAACCACACCATTCTCTCTTGCTCACTATCACGCGGACGCAAAAAAAAAATACCAACAAAAATGTGCGCAACATGCAAACCGCAAACGAGCTCGAAACTCAATGGTCTTTCCGTTTCGGCGTGTTGCAGGATCCGTATCTCGACGTACCCGAAGCGGCCACGTACGAATTGAGCTCGTGTTACAACGTGAGCATCGACTGCAGATCCGGCGATATGGTCGCGCGCATCCAAACGAGCAAGCTCTTCGACGGCAAGATTTACGCGAAGGGCTCGCCCAACTCTTGCGTGCGCGACGTCAACAACAGTCTCGAGTTCGAGCTGGAAATGGCCTACGATAATCTCGAGTGCAATGTGCGCAAGAACGGCCTGGGTCGCTACGTCAACGACGTAGTCATCCAGCATCACGACAAGATCGTCACCAGTTCGGACCTGGGTCTGGCTGTCACCTGCCAATACGATCTCACCAACAAGAGCGTTACCAACGAGGTGGACCTGGGAGTGCACGGCGATGTCCAACCGGCGCTCAGCGAGGAAGTCACCGTCGACTCGCCCAACGTGGCGATGAAGATCACAGATCGCAGTGGTGGCGATGTAATGCCCACGGCCGAAGTTGGCGACCCATTGGCACTACGCTTTGAGATCTTGGACAAGAACAGTCCGTACGAGATCTTCGTCAGGGAATTGGTTGCTATGGACGGAGTAGATTCCAGTGAAATTGTCCTCATCGACTCTGATGGTTGCCCTACTGATCATTTCATTATGGGACCTTTGTATAAATCAGCGGAGTCCGGAAAGGTACAAAATCTCCTCCTAATTTTTTTTACAGAAAAATAATAACAAATTGTTTGTTGTTTTGACAGATTCTACTCTCGCACTTTGATGCCTTCAAGTTCCCCAGTTCTGAAGTAGTACAATTCCGTGCATTGGTTACACCCTGCATGCCCTCCTGTGAGCCAGTTCAATGTGACCAAGAAGAATCCACAGGAGAGCTGCGTTCAGTCATCTCATACGGTAAACGCAGGAGGCGTCGTTCCACGAGCAGCTCAACAAACCCCAACGATGACCTGCTCCTGGTCCAGACCATCCAGATCACCGACAAATTCGGTTTCGAGCGGGACGGCAACAAGACGACCACTTTGGGTCGCGAAGCAATGTTCCTCCCCGACAGTCAAGGCTTCTGCGTGAACATGGCCGGCCTGATAGTCGCCGCCACAGTCTTCCTTGCCGCGCAGCTCGCCATCATCGCCGCCTGGACGTTTGTCTGGCAGCGAAGGCGGCTGAATTCCAAACTCAACGACTCTGCATCAGTGAGCGTCAGCCTGCCATCGACTTTCGGCACGAATCGCACCGACAGCCTCTGCAAGCTGTATGATAACAATGGCTACGCGCACTCGCGTCGCTTCTAAACCCATTGCCGTCCATACAAGCCCCTCATAAACCCATAATTCATATCAACGAATCCCAATATACCAGGTAAACAGGTGAGAACAACATTCGAAGAGGACCATCTGATGAACACAGTTTCCGAGCCCAGTTTTGCCATGAAGTCAAGCAAGAAGCCTTCTTCTATCTAGGGTACGTAGTGGTATCGAAATGCGTCGTGCATTCATAACTGTAACGCATATAGCGAGAATATCACGGTCGCCGCGACGAACAACACAAATACTCACACGACATACACACATATATAAACAAACTCTGGGCCAAGGTCGGACATGCAATGCAATCAATTTTTAGCGCATCTGTATTTTAACTCTATAATCACTTTAATCATATTTCGTTGCGTGTGCGCGTGCGATTCGAAACCACCGCTCGCATTCTCAGGATTCGTGTCGACTAAAGACACGTTGTGACAACGACGAATGCCAGCGGCGGTTAATTAACCGTTCGCGAACCGTTCAGAGACATAGAGCCACCGTGCGACGTGCTAAATAACGCACAAAGAGGTCGCGCGACATAAAACTCTTACACATACGCCAGCGTCATTTGCATGTGAACAAGTTCACGCACAGGAAGTAACATTGCGCTAACGGAGACGCGTGGTAAAAATGCAATAAAACAATTTTAGAACATCAACAAACCGTAACAAGAAAAATTTCGATAAGTGCCTTTTAATTGCAATTTTTTAATTTTTAATAAAGCCGCAATCGAAATTGCGCGATTTAAATTTACTACTTATTTAATTTTATACATATTATACATAACAAAAAAAGTATGACGCTTTACGAGGATGCCAGGACGATCGTGATGAATGAATGTCGATTGCTGAACTTTTTTTAAGTTATTGTCGAGTTTAATATTTAACGCATAGTTTCCTCGCGTCTCGTTCAAACATAATGAAGTGAGACGCATCGAAACATTAATATATAATATAAATATACATATAATAATATTTAATGATGCCCTCCATGAAGATGCGAGAATGTGTGTGCTATTGGCGCGAGTGTGTTATTTAATTTAAAAAATGCTTGTCCTGGTTTCCTTATCATGCGTTTACGATATACAAGACGACGCGAACTGAGCGGCGCTGCTTTTGCTCGTTCTCAAATGAAGAAACCGCAAAACCGGCGCCCGAATTATTTTTTAAAATTTATTAATTTAAACGAATACTATGACACTTACATACGATACTTGCGCATTGCGGCGAGAACGAGATATATTTATAATTAGATGTATTACTCTATGTTATTTGATTTCAAGAATACAATAATATATCGACAAGCGAGAATCTATTATTCGAATTAATTATATTTATATCATTATTATACTATATATTTTATGATAAAAATAAATTATAGCCGTTTCCATATGTTTTCCACATATTTCATTTTGGCGATTTTCATTTCGTGTGTTTTATTTTTGTGCGGAGAAATTTAGTTGTGTACCCGATAAGATTAAGATTAATAAGAGTGTTTATCGTATTCTTTTATGTATGCCACAAGCGACAAGAAAATAAACTGAATCAATATTATTCTCTGCTGCGCTTTATTTTATTTCGTTTGCAGACTTTTTCCATCCTAAACCTGCGTGATGGCCTTGCATTTAAGAAAAACATCGGCGCCAGAGTACAGTTAAAAAACTGAAGTAAGTAATTGAAGTTTTCTGCGGTAGTTTATTTTCAAGATTTTACAAGCTTCATTAAAACAAAACTGCTTATTACTAAGTGGAATTTGGTTGTAAGACTTGCGTCGGATGAAAAAGCGTATGTTGAATAGATAAAACTATGCTATTTGCAATTAGCACATTTACCAGTCCGATGTGTCTAGAGTTTTAAATGGTACTAAATATATCTTAGCACTTAAATGATCGTAAATCTTAAAAAAACACTTTCATCTTCAGCCGAACTTTCGTCTCGGTCTTTCTTTTAACGGAATATTTAACGAAGCGTCTCGGGCGCCCATGAACCAAATTAAGATTAATTTCAAGAGACAAAACCAACGTAATGCAAAAATAGTTCAATAACTACCTACTTTTAATACAGGGAAGTTAGATGAGTAAAGAAGGCGTGAATCATTTTCGTTTAACCTCATCATGACATTTATTTTCAATCCGAAAATAAATCCCCAACAGCGTCTAATTACATTAATTACTCGAACAAGGCTTCCATTTCAGACCCTTAATTAGTTCATGGCGCGTCGTTCCGCACAAGTTGAGGGCTTTTTACGTACCCGTGCCTTATTTACGCGCGCACTTAGCAATGTCAAATCGGTGCAGTACGCGATTTGCACACAGCGCGACTCGCAAACTTTCCGTCGAAGAAAAAACACGCAGCCAACAAACAAACGCGGCGTGGGATTGTATGCGTGAGTGTGTGTACGTCGCAGATGCAAAACTTTTCGCTTACACACTATCAAAGCTCATTAAGCACTCGTAGAATGAGATGCTCATTTAAATAACTCATTAGGCGCGCAGTGCGGGCATTTTTTCGTACCGCAGGAGCAGCAAGCAGGGTTTCGTCGAAGGAGCGCGCGAAGGCTTCGCGCTCGTATTGGGAAAAATAACGACCGGCGGAGACGTCACACGCAATCGTCGCTCGTTTCTCGCAGCTTCGCAATGCGTCGCGCAAGTCGCGAGTTGGAAAAATTCGTCGTTAGATAACTGTACAGCGTGAGTATAATTACGTCGGCCGAGCCTGGCGCGACGATTTCGAGCCCATAGCTCGCGTTCCTCGGACGTGATGTCTTAATCAATATCGTTGTGTTCTGCGCTGCAAGAGACAAAATAAACAAGCGAACGATACGAAATTCGAATAACGTCGGGTGAAGAAGGCTGGAAACTGATGCGAGGCCGAATCCAAGTCCACGTCAAATTGTGCGGAAACACGTGATACGAAATTGGATTTAATGAGACACACATACACGAATGACAGACCGATCATTTTGCAAGAGATATGCAAATGGCGATGATTTTCAATACGCATTTTGGTGCATCATAAAGCATTCTGGACATTAATCATACCGACTACAAACTACACTAATACGATGTAAAATTTATAACATTCTGAAGACATGTGGACGATCAATTTCAATTCGACGGCAGCCATCAACATTCTTTCACTTTTTTTCCGAATCGGAGTAAAAGGAATGGATCAAAGCAAATTGAACCAGAATGGAAGCAGCAGCAGCAGCGGCAAAAAAAGTGAATCGACCATTCAAATTTCTGCGCTCGATGCATTGTTTGCTACTCGGTGGTGGTGCTTGATGCGTTGCCGTTCAAGTGTCCGCATGACAAAGTCATTCGGATGTAATTGGCCGGCACTTAAACCATTCGCGGCTCGGACTCGGCCTGACATCGGAATCTTAATTCCGAACGGTTTCGATAACGTTCGCGGCGCGGCCTTAATACGCCGCGGTGAATTCATCATTTCGCGAATCGAAAGCAACAGTTATCGCCGGCGAGAGCGCGCGCGCACATCGCGAGAGTTATTTTTCTTGCAGCGATTATATTCAATAACTGCAGCCGGCAGAATGATGATTTATTCGATTGTGATTAAATTCCATTAGGTATTCAATGCGATGTTGCATTACACGCTGAATTACGGAATTTACATAGTAGAAAAACGAATGGCATAGTAAACTTATAATTGGGTGTTTATATTCCTAAATTTTTGGTAGTTTTAACTTCTATATTTATTTATTTTGAATTTTTCGGAAAAAAAGCGTTTTTTGTTTCTTTTTTATTATAAAAACTTGTGAATTTCTAATTTTTTTAAATTCCGCATTTACGAAGTATGCAGTATTAAGACGTAATTGCATTTAGATAAAAGTTAAAACGCAATTACATTTAAAAGACGGGAACGTGCTAAGTACCGACCGTGTCAAGACATATTTGTAATCTTAGTTATTTTTGAATTCGAGGTGTTTATTACGAAACAAATTAAACGTGAAATTATTCTCATCTTAATCTTTCGTAAACCTATCAACGACCTGACGCTCGTCCTTTATTGTTGAATAACTCGAAAAGTATTTGTCGGATTCTCTTGAATTTTCAAAGAATATATTTATATGTTTCTACATTCCGATCATATAAAAAAGGAAAACAGATTTTTTTGTTTCAAGCTTCATGCTTATCAAAGAACTAATTTTTTAATTTGTAGGTCTAAATCAGTTTCACGTAAATATTCAATCGCGCAATTATAAAATACGATGTTTTCTATCAGTTTACAAATGTAAGACATCCTTTCCTGTCTTAACCTGCAAAGATTACTCTTTCACCCCTTGCAGGCCTCTACAATACGCGAAATATAATAGAGGATAATTAATGAGCACACCTCGAGCTGCAGCGGAAAGGTCTTAATAATACTGCGAGCCGCCGCTGACCAAAACACCAGCAGCGCAGCATTCCCATACCAGAAAAGTTACGCCGCTGCTGACTTTCGAAGATACCAAACTAATATTACAACCACACGATGCGTGCGTATACAATGGCGAATTGTAGAATCGCTGGTTGTTGCACAAAGTGGAAATAAATAATGAAGGTGCACGCCGCCAATGCGAGAACAAAAGCAGTAGTTAGACATATTACACAGCCACGGACTGCCGGTTACAAATTTACAGGAATCGTGTGAGACCACGAGAAAAGATAAATATTTTTTCCGAGTTATTGACGTAGAACATGCAGAATTGACATAGTGTTTTAAAACGAAACGAAAAAAAAATGAAAATTTTCATACAACCATGATTTATGGCTACAAATATAAACTCGGATTATTTAGATATAATTGTGATAAAGATGATAAAGTAATAACTGTGTTCAAGAGCTCGTTATGTAATATAATCTATAATTTCCGCAGCAAACAATGTGAGTGTTCGTTTAATATCGATTTAAATTTGATCTTTGTTTGTAATTTCTAAAACCATCAATATAATTGTCATTCGAAAGCATAGATACCTGACCCATAATTACGCGCGCAATCAATCTACGTTACTTTATTATATTTCCACCTGCAAAATCGTAATATAAATATAACTACGGTATAATCAACAAAACAACTCTCTCATTACCGTCGATCACTGGAGCCAAAGTGCAAGTAAAAGTCAAGTATCATCATCAAAACCAGCGTAATTTCGTATTTACCGTACCGAAAACCGAAACTAATAAATTATTTCCGCACACTCGCGCATCATCTCGCCGAGCGCATTATTTTGCACTTACTCTTCAATCGCGCGCTTATTAAAAGAAAATTGCATTTAAATGGTGGCGCGCGCGCGCGAGACAATGCACACACGCAGTGGGCGTTAATGGTGAATTGCAACCGCTTTAAAGTCGACCGCGACGGCGGCGTGTGCGCTCTCGCTGCGAATTCGCATAATACGCTACGAAATGAACGAAATTAGAAACGTAAACTTGGTCGTGGAGGCGCCGCACCAAACACAGCGCTGTTGGTGTGTTTACTACCGAGGAGACGTCGACGCGTTAAAAGGCGTAAAATGCAAATCGTATTCATTAAAACCACCCCGTCGACGGTTTCGTTTTTACAGCGCAACATAACATTCCGTCCAACGTCCACCCTTAGTTTATTATTGCATTAAAACGTAAATGAAAACGAAAACGACCTCACAGCCACCGTTGTCAAAATCCCACAAGTAATATCAAACCATGAAAAAGGGAAGAAAAGTTTCGTAAATTCCTACACACAACTGATAGGAAATTAAAGTATCGCTCAATATTATTAAGTTGTTTTGATGCATTCAATTACCACGGGTAGCAGCATTGAATAATGCAAAAATATTTATCGCGAGATAAAAAATCGGCGGCGCGTTTTTCAACTTGAGCTTCAATTGCAACCACCGACTTCTTCATCTTCCGAGTGAATGCTGCTGTAACAACCGGCGTGCATTTACGTAATATAGTTGAATTTTCCATAAAAGGCGAATAACATTTTTCTTTGCCCGTTGCGGCAAGTTAGAAGAACACGAACTGCGCGCGGCTGAAACAACTCGCTCAGTTTTTGCAGGCGCGCAAATTCTAAGCTTCGCTCGCAATGTTATGTTGGTTGGTGTGTGTGTGTGTGTACATTATTCGTTTTCTTATATTATGTGTAAATTTATTTTAATTTCGCAAGCGAAGGCTTTTAAAGTCTTATGGCCTTGTTGAGTTTTAATGCCAAGGCGTGCATTGTCGTCCGCATCGAAAGAAATATCAGAGGCAGAGAAGCGGTTTAAAAGGCAAGCGCAAAGTGCTTCTAGCTTCGTACACACACGGCCAATGAATTCACCGGCCGGTCATAGAGTACATAAACTCTTTATGCAACTCAATAATATTCGACTATTAATACGTTCGAATTGCGATGCGAAGAATAAATTGAATGCTTTCGTGAAGACTACTTATCGAAAGTATTTTATGCCTAGTCATCAGAATGTTGATACGTAAATTGAATAAACTTTTGACAATATGTGATTTGCTGTGGCGTATAGGTAGATACATACACGCGAGAGATAAGCCGGATAAAAATCTCACGCGCGACGTGGACAAAAATGATGAAATATGTTTTCGTCGGTGTGATGTGAATACACGCCTGATTGGATCTACTCTAATCTGCAATAACTAATAGCTCAATAGCGCAATAAAAATGATTATTGAATGGCGGCAGCGGCGGTGCGAAATACACCATTTACTAATATCCATCCATACACACACGTGTGGTTCGCCGCTGTGACCCACGGCGAAAGGCTGGAAAACGTAGCGTTACAATAAAACGTATTTGCATTGGAGATCGTTAATCTTTCGGTGGGTACTTACTTACCAACTTGGAGCAGCGCGTTTCACCTGGCGTGGTTTTGTGCGCAGGTAGCTTTTCACCGGCCGCACATAACTGTTTTCCATCAAAAGACTATGCTCGCGCGCGCGCGGGGTTGTGATACATGAATGTAGAATAACGGCAGCGCGCATCGCACATCTCGCGAAAACGAGAAAAGGAAGAGAACCAAAGTGATAATTATATGCAATCGCGACTAGAGGATTGGCGTGCGTTGCGCCGCGCTGACGAAGGTGGAGAAGGCAAGACGGACGCGAGGCGCGCAAGCATAAATGTGCTTTAGCCTCAATTTGATGGCTTATCTTGAAATTTAACTAAATCAACAACAATTACCGTATATGTTAATCGCGCTCGTTTGCTATGTAAACAATACCTTCCATCACGTCAGCACTTTGTATTTTACAATTCAACCAACACAAGAGTTTCAGCTCCACCCTTGGAAATTTTTATTACAGCAATCGAAATTCCATGATAAATACGAAATTACCCGTTCACTGACTGATGATAAAAATAATTAATTATGAGATGCATTCCGATGCAGCAACAAATAAACCAAAGCCAAAAGAACAAAAACTGTGGAGGAAAATTGCATCGATCCAGCTCATTGCAATCTCGTCGCAGAACATACGTGATTAAGGTAATAAAATGTTTATAGCCGAAAATTCGCGAACGTGATCTCCCGGCCAGCCATCATATCTCATCATCGTCATTCCGGCGCATCTCCAAGGATGCACACACGTTGATTAAACGCGCACGTCATGCCATAATCGCCCATCGGCGGCCAAAGATAATCTAAGTCGGCAGGAACGAAGGAAGGTGTCGCAAAGCTATAAAAATACGCCGTCGGGAACGGGGATATTAGACCAGCAACAATTTTAGTTGTTATTGCACACATTCGCGCGATTGAAATTGCTTCCTAGTTACGCGCCGCGCTTGAATCTGCAATTGAAACATCAAAATGATATTCCCGGCTAATTACATACAAGTATTCCTCTTTTGATCATTCAGTGAAGTTTAATGCAAAAAGTCGTCGTTCCGCATTTTTCCACCCAAACCGCCGAATGGCATTTTATCATTCGGAAAGCTGATACCCGAGATGCGCGCCTTTCGCGGTGCACGAGCAGCGAGTGCACACGCTCGACGGCGACGACCGCCTTCGGGCACGAATTTATATCTACTGATGGCCGATTATTATATCAAAAAGGGTGATCACGGAAACGAATGGGCGTCCATTATTTATTATAGGCGCACGCAGACACCGGGCATGTCTTGGCTCCACCGCGGTATGCTTATGAAGCCGGGCGTGCGAGCGCACAAGTGCAGATTTGCACACGAATGGAGCGAAACAGGTTCGCAGCACCGGATTTTTTTTCCGGGTGGAGGAAAAGCTCGAAAGATGCGTCTTGCATTATCTTAATTCATGCCTGTTATCTGCGAAATTAGCTAAGCGCGGCTAAAGATCTCAGGCAATCAATCATGTGATAACTAACAATTCAATAACAGCCTTCGCATTCGCCCGGCCGCATACTGAAATGGTAGTTTCCAGCCACGTATTGTGTGCATTTTTGCGCGCCCAGCTTGCAATTCGTGAGCAGCAGGAGGGAAATTTCGATTTCGCCAAACGCGGCAGGAAACTTCCGCGTACTCTTTTCGCTAAACATAAATGTCTTATAATTAACTTAATGACGCACTAATTAACAAGATACCGTTTGTTACACACACGTTGTTCATACATTTTCCTTGCGCGCGAGATATGACATCAATAAGGAAAATAATAAATTTGATAGTTATATTTCGGTAATTATTTACAGTTCAAGTTCACCGGTGTTCGAACTCGCATGTAAAAGCAGCTATGAAACGCGCAGAAGTTGCATGTTTAAAAGGCATCTAATGATGCCATTATACGTTTTTCCCGTTAACGGTAATCAAGCCGCTGCTATCATTGTTGTCGGCCCGGGTAATAATGAGTTAACGTACGCACGGACCGCGCGGTAATCACGCCGAACTCGATGCCGGCCGGCTAAACGCCCGCGAACTCTGCTAACTCTCACCGTTTGCCAGTGAATCCACTTACCGCTTCGACTTCTTCTTGCTTCGGAAGTCAAAGAATGAAACCAAGCATTGAGATTCACGCTCAGTTTCGTTTCCGGCGTTCATTTTCGTTCGTGTTCCGTCCAGTTGGGTGCTCGTTTTACATATTGGAACGATACTAACGCTACTTTTGCGGCAGTAAAATTGGCAGTTCCGCACCGTAATTGAGGTACAAATAAATTGCTAGTTTCATAAACGTTGTTAGTTCCGTTGCGCAATTACTTTCAATTTATACGCTTAGCCAAGCCTTTTCGCTAACAATTACATATTAATTTATGCATTACGCTTACCTTTAAACGTTGATCCACCACCGACCAGACGCGACTGGCAAAGTCGTTGGAGGCGCCGAGGAGAAGAGTTCCGGTGCTGTCAAAATCCACAGACATCACGCCCGCGTTACTACCCTGAAGCACACCGCGACTGTCCGGTGAACCTGCAGCCAAACCACACAATAAAAACAATAAAAGTACAACATGAAACATGAAAATTTAATCATTCACCTTTTGATACATCCCAGAGTCGAACTTTTCGGTCCGCGCCACCGGTGGCAAGCATACGATCCGGACTCCATTTCACCGCATACACTTCACCTTCGTGCGCATCCTGGAAAACATATTTCTAGTAAATTTCATCAACGCCAAATGCACATTATTAATAATATTGCCATGTGTGCTGTGTTGGTGAGCACATTTGATATCCTGTCGGCGCAACATTCCCTCGGGTGCACCCGAGCACTTCCCAACTTATATGCAGATTAAACTAATCACCATTGCATAATATTACGCGTCTAGTTTTGAGCTCCCTCGGATGTTAATAACAGCCCCAAACACGCGCCAAGGACGCGCCCGGATTAGTTCCCGCAGGTGCAGCTCACCTGCACTCCGCCATCCCTCATTACCGATCTTGAACTAATTATCGCGCCAACGCAAATGACGCGCGAATTATAAGCGGAATGCCCGATAATTGCAAATTGCAATGTGATTGCTGCGCACGTGCAGCCAATTGATATAAGAGTGGAGTTGGGTTGAATAAAAAACTAAAGTGAGAACTAAAATATATATTTTAATAACTTAGTGCTAATGCTAACTAAGTACAACCCAATAATTTAAGTCTTTAAGTACAACTAAAACTACCCAGAAGCTAATTGAGAATTCGAGCTGTTTGTCAAGTTTAACAACACATTGATGGGAAACTTTGCAACTGTAGTCAATGTTTAATCAGTACTTACAAATTTCAACGATGCGGTTGTTGGCACCCTGGAGTCGACGTAAATTGGTCCCGCACCATCACGAAAATCATCGGGTGATAACCCCCGCATATCTCTACATGCTTCCTCCAGTTCTTTTTGCATTTTTGCATTGCGTTTCCTAAACAAACAGAAAAAAGTAACTTATCTTAATAATAGTAATCTACACGTTGATTTATTAGTGTTATTTTTACTTGCTACACATGATACATTTTTATTTTTATAAAAACATTGTTATTTAAACAAAGTATCATATGTGTAGCAAGTAAAAATAAATATCTATAAATATAAACATGTTTGTCAGCATGATAAAAAATGGTAATGTTGGTTTGTTGCTTCCGATGGCCCGGATCCCCAAAATGTGTATCTAGCAACGCGATGCAGGACATTCCAACTTCCAACATTAATAGATTAGTACATTGTATCAAAAATTCAGAAGCCAATAAAAAAAAGAACACATTCCACAAATAAGCTGCACTTTCGACAATTCGATAGCTTCAAGCATGCAGGATGATGATTTCTTGATTCTTAATTCTGGTTTGTATCATGTGTGATCATCGCACATACCTGAATCGACCGAATGCACTCATTGTAATTGTCGCTAGCTGCCTGCTCGCGTCGCTAGAAATTCATGTGACCAAACAAAAGTATGAAACAGTCAGAAAACAACAGTCAAACAAAACAAAAATTAAACAATCGTAGAAATCTAAACAGAATATTTAAAAAAAACACAAATTGTGTGTAATCTATAGTCAAATTAATGTATGTATTTGTCAGGTGTGAAAAACTTACTTGAGGAAATTATCATTCTCTTCATTCATTTTCTCAGCATCTTTTGCCTTGTATCCTATAAGTCGCGCCACTAACTGAGCATTTTCATCCTGTGCTTTTCTAAGTTTATCTTCTAATGAGGTGAATGCAAGTTGTAAAGCTTGGTGTTCATCACGTAACATTTGGTTTAAATTCAGCAATTCTTTTGAGTTGTTCTCCAACATTGTTATCTCAGCTCTTAGGGAATTGTTTAATTTTGTAGATTCACTTAAACTGAAACATAAATTATACATGAAATAATAACATGAAACATTCTGCCTGCCAACTCTTTCTCTTTATACACTAGATCCAACAAAAAAGATTTCATTTGAGGCAATTTCACAACATGAAAATTTAAAAAACATGAAACATACCTTAAGTCTTTACTACTTAATAACTTTTCCTTTTCTTGTAACTTAGTATTAAGATCAATAATTTGTTGCACATGATCCCCTTTCCTCCTATGTAGTTCTGTAAGCTCTTCTTGTTGGGCAAGCAGTTTCTGCTCAAAATGCTGAATACGTTCCACCTGTTTTCCATCACCTTTGGACCCAACTGCCATCCCTGAGCTGCTTCGTAGTTGCTCATTCTGCACTGTTAATTGGACGTTCTCCACCCGCAAGATGTTTGCGTTATCAAAAAGTTTATTATCTACAAGTATAATAATTTAGCATGAGTTTGTACATTTTGGAATAACATTGATAACAAGAGTTATGTGTGAGGTTATGTTTAAAAACTTGAGGAACACTTACTTTGTGCGATAAGCTCTAGGAAAGTGTGCTGATGCTTGTTTCGTTCGTGCAATTGCTGAATTATACTCTTGCGCCAGGGTAAATCTTCTATCGTTGACATTATTAAAATGAGTTGGTGATGAGTTTTCAATATTTATCTACATTTACGAGTTTCGCACGCGATCAGATGTTTTGCAGAAATGTTTTGATTACTTTCTGTTGAAGAGCTAAGCGACATCTGACAGTGTGTATAAAACCAAAATGTATGTTAGTTGCTATAACAATCTACAGGGGGCGTTACTGGTTGGTTTCAAAGGTAATTCAACATTCTTAAGGTTTCATTTAATTATTAATTTAATTAAACTACAGCTTTTCAACGTACTTAATTTTCGGTAAGTTAATATAAAAATGGCAAGCACTGATTTAACACTGGGTAAGTTTTTATTTGGTATATGATAAAATCTGTTACAAATCACGCTAAATAAATGGGTTATTATTGAACATTTTACTCTAATATTTATAGCAAAAGTTGCAAAAGAAGGTGGATATCGTTATGAAAGAGACGCTACATACGTGGGAGGCTGGAATAATTCTGGTAAAAGAGATGGCATTGGCCACTTACTTCTTTCTGATGGAACCAGATATGATGGATGTTTTACTGATGGATTTTTCACGGAATTGGAATATTACGATTTCCAGATGAGTCAAAGTACATGATTTCTCAAATTCTCTTTAAAAGACGATATGTGTAAGTATTGAAAGATTTTGTTTCGTAGATATGAAGGCGAATTCAGTGATGGATGGTTCCATGGTTTTGGTGTCTTTTGGCGTGCTGATGGAATGAAACACGAGGGAGAATTTCGTGGAGGAAAGATCTGGGGTTTGGGACTAACAACTTTCAAAGACAATACTAACGGATTTCCAAGATGTGAAGGATATTTTCAAGATTGTCGTCTTGTACGCAAGAAAAAATGCCCAGAAATAGTGCAGCGTGCTCAGAAAGTAACATTTATGGCTCGCCAACAGTTTGATACTTCAATGTAATACCAACATTAGTTAATTATTAAATCAAACATTTAAGAACAAAATTTCATCGTCTTAACGTTTAGATTCGATAATTGTATTTGCAATTCAATTTAAATTTTGCTGATGTGTATACTTAGTTGCATAAATTCAAGGAAGATTTTTAATGTGGCGCCATGTGCTTCATATATAACCCTAAATATTTACAAAGTGCAGAAATCAGACAAAATGTCTTTTAAAAAGTTAAATACTAAGATTTACCAAAAAAGTGGTCCCATTATCACCCCTGATTATATTTATTGGAAGAAATTAGGTGTACGTAAACCATTATTTCAACGTTATATGCTTTTATTAAAATTTGTTACCCAAATTTCAGGTTCCAGTACTGGTCAAGGAATTTGGTGCAATTGATTATGTAGACTTTTCACCCATTGAACCACACTACTTTGCAGTGACTTGCTCTGTCCGTGTGCAAGTTTACAATCCAATAACAAAACTTGTCGTTAAAAATATCTCCCGATTTCGTGAAAATGCATATGGAGCAGTTTTTCGAAGTGATGGCAAGTTGCTTTGTTCAGGTGGTGAAGAAGCAGTTGTGAAGTTATTTGATGTAGCATCAAAGAGTTTACTTAGGTAAGATCTACTCATGAGAGTGAATACTGCAAATTTTTTGTCGGATTCATGCAAACTATTTACATTTCCATGTAATAATATCACATTTTAATTCAGTTTTGCATATTGGTGCTGGTTTTGTTGGCAATTCATGTTCTACGAAGATTGTTTTGTATTCTGTGTCAAGTGTAGCTCTTGGATCAAGCCTTTCTCCACACCAATCATACATTTTTTGCTCTTTTAATCCATATTTTGTTAAGTTTCCATAATCTTTCAGTAAACCTGATGGTTGTTTGCATTTCTCAGGTGAACATTTAGGCAACCAATTGTATTCTAAATCACTTGTGGTTGTGAAATTCTCCCTGTATTTATTAAGATCATAACCGAAGAGCAAATCCGGAATCAAACCTTCTTTTCTGAATCGATTTCTCCACTTCTCATTTGGATCAAAACTATGAGGTTTAGCAACGAAATCAGCTTGGGTAGTGGTTTCATATGGTTTAACGTGGTCAAGCGAACTTATTTTTTAAATTTGAGTGGCATTTTTGTTATTTTGCAGATTATTCAAAGGTCACACAGCTGCTGTGCATCGAACTCTATTTATCGCCGACCAACCGCAGATTGCTTCATTTTCCGACGACAAAACCGTGAAAATCTGGGATATTGCAACAGAAAAAGACGTTTTGACATTCAACGAGCACACAGATTACATCCGAGCTGCTGCAGTTTCTCCAGTAGTGTCAGATATAGTTCTATCTGGCGGGTATGACAATAAAGTCAAAATGTATGACAAGCGGACCAATCAATCACTGTTAACGGTTGATCATGGTTCGCCAATTGAATCACTTCTCTTTTTACCATCGGGGGGTATATTTTTATCTGCTGGTGGTACGGATATTAAGGTTTGGGACACTTTCGCAGGCGGGAAACTACTTGGGTGCATGTCACAGCATCACAAGACGATCACTTGCTTGCGACTAGCGTCAAACAACAAACGATTACTTTCCGGTAGTCTTGATCGCCACGTGAAGATTTACGATGTTTCTACGTTTAAAGTGGTGCATACTTTAGACTATCCTAATGCAGTGTTAAGTCTTGGAGTTTCCAAGAATGACGACACCGTAGTTGCGGGTTTGGTCGATGGGTTGGTGTCGATTTCACGCCGGGAAGTTGAGAAAACCCCCGAGGAGAGCGAAAAGAAAGTTGTCAACTACAAGTATGCTACGAACTTGCATGCCAAGGTTGATTTAATCATCCCTGAAGAAAATAAACCAAAACAAAGCAAACACGACATTGCGCTGCGTAAATTCCAGTATTCCAAAGCATTGGATTTGGTATTGCTTAATTATGTAGCAAACAAAACGCCCGAGGTGACTGTGTCAGTGATGCAAGAATTAATTCGCCGCAAGGCTTTAGCCAGGACACTAAAAGATCGAGATGATAAATCGCTGGCTCAGATTTTACGATTTTTGAATCGTAACATTGCCGATTATCGTTTTACGAGGGTTTTAATCAACGTAATGAATATTTTGCTGGACGTGTATGAAGAGAAGTCGCATATGCCAGCTGATGTTGTGCTACTCTTCAGTAACTTGAATCAATTATTGAAGAATGAATGTGAGCTGGGTGAACATTTAGCAGCGCTACAGGGAAGCATGGATTTGGTATTGGCTGCATCAGCAGCAGCTGCCGATGTTGAGTCTGTTACTGAATCACATAGTTTGAATCTGATGCCTAGTGCAGAGGCACAGAAGAATCTAATTGTTAATTTGACATAATGTAAGTAATATAATATAGTAAGTATATCAAAATCAGTGCTATAAAACCAGTCTGTATGCTGCTGAAGTACTCCCACTACTTGAGTTTTGCGCTAAGCTTCGACTGCGCATTGTATTCGACTTCGCCGGCGCGCCGCGTCGTGCCGGCTGAAGAGTTTTTCTTCAATAAAAGTGAACTTCATTTGAAACGCAGCGAACATTAGTAAAAGTTGTTGTTACCACGGAGCGTCTACCACATAATACAAAAAAAAAACGTTCTAAAATCGAATTAAAGAGTGAATTTAAGTTAACATTAACATTGTTGTTAAAATGTGAGTTATTCTACTATCTAACGGATCAGGATAGCGTTTTATATCGAAGTAAGTTTAAAACTTTTTACAAACTCATACAGTAAATGGTATTAGTTGATCTAGCTGTCAAAAGAACCTTAATATGCGCATACGTATCAACACATTACATCACTGCGCCTGCTTGCATCATTTGCATACAGCATTAAATATTGCCATCCACATGATTCCCACTTTTGCAAGTCAACCAACTTTGTGCATTCCACCTGTGCACATCCGTCGGTAGCTTGACTGTGTAAATGTGTGCGCGCCGAGGAAAAAAGATCAACGAAGGTATGAACGCGTGTATGCAGCAATTCGCCGCTGGAGGCGAGGCAAGGTCGATTAATTAATTCACGAGAACATCACAGTCATAGAAGTGCACGTTCGCACGTAAATGTTCACGTGTACTTGTGGGTTTGTTACACGTTAATGCTATTCATGGAATGAGCCTGAATCTGCATGTGTTTAACATATTATAACATTTGATGGGATGCACTCCGTTGTTGGAATAGTTGCGTGCCGGCGGTGATTGCACGCGTTTCGTGTCGTCGTAGGTCAGTGTCAAAATATTCTATTGTATTACATTTTTTATGGAATCTTCCGCCGGCAGTGTCTTAAAATTTAATTTATATTCTATATTACACGCTTGATGCTGTTACCACATGTGGCCAGTAATGTGAAGTGTGATTGTTCAATCTTGTGCGCATTATACGGGCGTTTAGAGAGTTTAAGTCGAGATGCGGTAACGGTAGCGATTTTCCAGTAAATTAACTCTCGCGCTGGTGCGATGCTCTCCTACGCTCTTGAACAATTCAACGACCACAAGCGGAATCCTGCCTAAACTGGAAAACACTTTACCGTTTTACCAATTTTGTGTTATAAGTCGTGTATTGATTTATTTCGTATCGTTTCGAAAGAATCTAACCTGTTACACGTATTTCGCATTATTCTTTCCACGTTTCGTTGCTTCCTGTATCCATATATACAGTTGCATCAGTAGCAACGAATGTGGGTGCAATTAGTGAACTCACCACGCTTACACAAAATTGGTTAAATTAATGGCACATGTACTCCACAACGTCTCAAAATTCGATTGTAACAAAAGGTAAGCGTGACATTTAGAAAACCAAGCAAATCATAACTAAACTTAACTAAAAACATTTATTAAGTGATTACATATTACTTCATATATCAGAAGATATAGTTATTATTTATGTTTGAGTGCAAATACCGAATCAAATTATTCCGCAAGGCGAGAATAAATGACACTTCAAACTATTAAGTAGAAATTAGAATAGCATAGCGTAACATGTTGTAAGAAGGGACCAAAGACTCGGTAAGACAGGCCGAAATAAATGTTTGGGCACGGAATGTGCGGAATCGTGAGCGCAAGTGGAACTTTTGGCGTTTCTGCTTTCGTGGTTTCGTTTGTTTCGCTAGTTTCAATTGTTTTTTTCCGACCGAATTTCAAACAAACTCATCCAAACAACTGGTTGCGGTCATAAAATGCGTTGCAACAAAAGGCATCACCATGTGTAACCGCTCTAGTTGTGTACACAATTCAAACTATACCAAATTGCAGAAATCAATAAACTTTTTACATTATAGCCTTTCAATAACACTAAACAATGTGTTTTATTGTTATATCACAATTGTTTTTGACAGTTGTTTATCAATACACATGAATATGTGTTTAGTAATTTGAGATTCTTCTGGGGCCTTGATTGGTATAAGATTATAATTATTTCATTTATAATATTCCTAAATATCAGCATTATCAACTTATCTGAATTTCACCTTGCAAATTATAAATTTATAAATGATATTATCTTCATGCGTGAAGATAATTATCACATACCCATACATCCAACGCGAAAATAATTAGAATGTGGAGAATGATTTAGGGCGAGTTAGCTGCGCATCTTTGTTTTCAAATTTGAAGGATTGAGGATAATCCCCGTGGAGGTATGATACGCACGCGATGCGAAACGATTCAAATCAAAACACGTCTGCTTTGGCATTTGCATATTTGAGCTCACTCGGAACTAAAATATTTATCAAACCGAAGAGAAACGTGGGCATAAACTAAAAATCATATTCATAGATTAATTAAACTCAAGAAACATTAAAATATTAAGTCGATTTAATTAAATTACATTTGTAATTGATTTTCCGCTTTGAATTCAATTTACTTTTTGGCTGCAATGCAGGCGTGTGCATATTTAATCAATTCTTATTGATGTGGATGTGGTTGTGTGTGTATGGATGTTGAGGATGTGAATGTAACACTTGAACAAAACTTGAACGCTGCGATTTTGTTGTAGCATAATAACCGTTCCACCCTTCTCTTTCAAGCCGAGCGCATTAAATCTTTCCGCTTCAACGTTCACTTCATTGGTGCGATGCGTTCGACCATTAATCGTTCTTCATTTTTCTTTTGTGAATAGGTTTGGTTTTAAACTTAAGCTTTGAAGGATGACTTGACTTTTCAAAATTCACGGTCAGAGAAAATATTGTTTTGCAGTATTAATTACATATTATCCTAGCAAAGTTTGGTAAACACATGATCGGGAAGCCACATTATAATTAATTTTTTAAAAATACAAATTTTTCTGCAAATTGTTGAAAAAAAGTTCGAAAAGACTTACACCGGATGTACACATTTCTAAGCAGAAATCAATGTTGATGCACTTTGCTTCCACGAAATTCTCACAACACAATATTCACCAATTAATTAGAAAGCCGATTCGAGGCCGTTTTTATCTAATTATTTGCGCACAATTTCATTTGTTCTTCTGCTAATATTAAAAAACGATCTTTTACAAGAATAAAAAAAAAGTTTTCCACTAAATATTGTGTTAGTAAGTTAAGTTAAACTATTTTTTGGTCTGATAGAAAGTGAAAACTACAACACAAACTTTTGGGTTAAAATAAGCCCAACTTTTTTGACAGTCTACCCCTTTCAAATATATTAGCGCAGTGACGGCACTCGTAAACCGTGTTTAACAACAGCGAAGACCTTTTTCTTTTCGTACTGCTCCTCGGACTAGGACGCCGCTCCACAATGGTCATAATCAAAAGAAGTTTCACTTTGATCATTGAGACTTTTGCTACGGGGACAAGTTTCCAAAGGCGTTGCTGGAACCAGCCAACCAAACAATCTGCGGCTACATAGTTTTGCTTTTTCAAAGTAAACTATTCGTTATCAATAATATCCAAAATCAAAGCCAAATTTATATCAAATAGAAAATTTGTTGAGAAGGTGTATTTTTCTTATATTTTTGCGAACGTATTCAACAAAGAAAGAGTGGCGGATTTAACGATTCGCAACAAATCCGCAAAGCATCTACGACCATCGCAGTCGCTATTCTCTGCATTGTGCCATTGCGCCACCACCCCCGTAAGACGGTGCACGCTGCACCACAGGTTCAACAACCCCGATCGACATGTTCGCATATAATATACACAACTGCAGGTTCTGCGACGGTGTGGGTGAGGAAATAACCAAAGCCTGCTTTGAAGTTACAGTTTTCATGGAGTTTCGAGTTATGATTAGTAACATTGTATCAATATGAAACAAGTTTATGTAACTGCAATTCGCGTAATCAACGTAATGCCGCAAGACATGTTTATTTCATTGTTATTATAAAAAGCTAACAGACATTTTTGAAATTACCGGAAAAGTCAACGATAAAGATTTTTCTGAATTTATGCAAACAAGCCAATTAATAAGCGCTTGTTAGGTGGAAATTCTTTTTGTGCGTTTGGTACCAATTATACGGTAATTAAAATTTAAAAACTTGGAAAACGACGGCAGTATAAAATGCGAAAGGAACGACTAAAATGTCGCACGGATGACATCAAAAGAAACGAAGTAGTACAAACCGTTCTGCCATTAAAAAAAGCTAAAAAATAAACGAAGAATTATCTAACAGGGTTTAGAAAAGCAGGAATTTACAATAAATTCATTTAGAAAAAAGTTTGGGAGTAAAATACCGTTGAAATTAAATATTTTGTTATTTTAATCATACAGCATCCGATGAAACAGGTATTATTCGTGAGATTGCGCGATGCGCGCCGCCTCCGCGACCGCCGCGTAACACAGACGCAGCGCCAGTCGAACAACAGCAGCAGACTGTGTGGCGGCTAGCGGCTCCCATCAACGCGACAACGCGACTTGTGCGTGAGCTCGCACGACTTTCGGACCGAATATTTCTGGTCAAACATTTATTTTTACTAGTTTATTATTTTTGTGAAACGTAAACAAAACGGAACATGTTTAATTAAGCAAAGAAAATAACTGCGATGCGCATTTAGTTGGTTGAGAATAAGCGAGGGGAAGCTAATAAAGTTCGATACCAGAAACGCAGAAAGTTTTATACAGGTTGCGATAGCAATGGTGCGAGCGCCGGGCGACATTAAGACAATAAAAAGCGCTTAAACGAGGGCGGAAATAGCGCACGCGGGCGCAGAGACGAGAAACGTTAAAATTGCTCACGCGCGGATAAGGAAATCAGTGTGGAAACTGTTTGTTGTATCTTTTAACGGGGATTTTCAGTGGTGGATTCCGATTGGGATTTCCGATTCTACCCACCACAGATAAAGGTAAAAAATTACATAATATAACGTATAAATCAAAATTTTGATTTTGTGGTTTATGCGAAATGCAACTATAGGAAAAGCTTTCGAGTGAAAGCAAATACTTCTGATGTTGCCACACCAAATAAGCACGCTGCATTTCACAAACGTGTAAAAGTGCAAGCTTTGCACTTATTTACACTCGTGTAAATAACGATCAACAAGCCAAACATGAGATTTTATGATTTATTTTAGTAGGAATATTTATTTAAACTATTTACTTTAATAAATATTCAAGTATTAAATATCCCTGAATTTTTAAACGACGGTTAACGAATGAATCAGCTCATTTTTGTTTATTTCATTATCAGTAATGCTCATTAAAATCACATAATGATATAATTTTGAAACAAAAGGTATGAAACAATTGGCAGTGACTGTTGATGAAATCTATTGTTAAAATATTCAATTTTTTCAATGATAGAGACAGAAATTAAATGAAATTCAATTTAAATATAAATATTATTTAGTTTATCTTCACGATTCACGATTCGTTAATCCACGACTTTAAATTCCAATGAAGCATTGTTGTATTCATAGTGGACATTCATATTTGGATTCAAACTCGCCCGTTTGTTTCCTCATCGGGCGGAAGCGTTTGCATGCGAATTCTCATCGCGGCTTGCGAATAGTAAATGCGCGCGATAAAAGCAAGTGCACAATCATGTCTGTCCGTGTGGCGTGTACGTGCAGGTGCGAAATGGGACAAACGATGTGCTAGTGTGCCAGCGTTTGCACGATTACGAGGGAAAATACTGGACTAGGTTCAACGTCCTCTTATCGATTATAACAAGCTCTTGTTGCACTCGCCAGTAAAAACCGTTGACTACAACTATTCGGCTGGCCAAACATTTGAACGCCATGTTACGTGTATTATAAAATAACTGCTTTATGTGTCGGGGTATTAAAGTTGCATTTTTAGTGAGAATGTCGGAAATTGATAAAAATAATATTAAATAAAAATTAATAGTATAATCGAGGTTATTTCTTCAACTGTCGGAAAGATATTTAATTATTATTTCGCGTTTTATTAAAAAAAAAGTTTTTTTTTAATGAAATTTTAATTATTTTTTAAAATTATTACAAAAATTGGCTAAAAAAGTATCACTTTGATGTTGTTATTAAATTAATATTCCCCAAATATTATTAAATAATTTATTTGTGTCAAATTTGACCCAATTGCAATTATTTTCGCCAAGTACGAATGTAAAAAAATGTTTTATGTAAAACACGCACATTTTTTAAGTTTTAAAACGCGCGGTGGGAACCGTGCCGAGTGTTTTGGGTGTTCATGAATATATTTTTGAGGGGCGGTGGTGGGCTTGAGCGCCGCAGGACGTGCAGGACGTTTGCAAGGGCTCAGTGTGTAGGCATTTATATTCGTTTGGCAATGCGGCAGCGCGGTATATAAAGTTCAATAAGAGGTTTTAAAAGCTCGCGCTGTCAACGCCAGCTCGACAAAGCCGG